AACTTCCTACTCAAGTAATAAATATGGTTCTGTAATAGAGGAGCCTGGTCTATCTTTTCTTTCTGGGTTGCTCCTGTTGCTACACGTGTTGCTCAATCTTGCAGGGCTGTCTTGGGTGTGATGCTCGGTCTGGTCAGTCGTCCGGGAGGTCATAATAACGTTATATTGTCGATTGAACATTCAACACAGAAGCTGGTAGAAGACAGTTGTCACACAAGCGTTTAGTGGGATTAGAGTGAATAATAGGTATCTTAAAACAAAGGGGTCGGTTTTGGCTTCCTACAGTATAGTGCATTATTCCAAAAAGGGGGAAACATTCCCGTGTCATAAGCTTAACATCGGCCGTAACATAAACCGAAATTATAGCCTTAATTATAATCCTCAATCTACCTTAAGCCCTAACCAACTTCACCCCAAAACTTAACCTCAACTCTCCCTAAAGCTAACCCGATTCCTAACCTTAAGCTCAAATCTCGTCCTAAAGACATTTCTATTGCGGGTGTTTCCTGTTCTCATATTCTAAGAAGGTGAACCATAAACCTCATCCTTACCAACTATGCATCCATTAGGTGAGTGCTAAAGTTGAGCGGGGTCAGCTAGAAACATCTACTGTGCCTTCATTCTTTACGTCGCGTTGTTATGAAGTGCGATTTATGAAAGATTAGGCATTCAAGAGAAAGACATAATGGCAAACTCCTTCCGAATATAAGCACTTCAACTGAAGTTAGAAGTGCTTTTATGCTTGAGTAAAAGATCAGGTACAGTCTTCCAGGTTATTTCACACAAGTCTGAAAGTTGAATAACCTTTTTTGGCCCTTGAGCCTCTTTATGAACTTATCTCGCCGTTAGAAAATAGGTCCTAATGTGCGCGCGACTGAGTTTCGGCCATGAGTGAAAGAGCTGGTGACCGACTTTGGGACCTCCACTGTCCAGGAATGTAGGGCTGACGTGTTAGGGAGGGCGGTTTTTGGGGCGATGACTTCACTGTCTCGCTACTGCTGCACTGAAAGGCCAAGTTAGATCATGATAACTGCAATTGTATTTTTGGGGCTAATTCTGGAACAGATTGCTTGTCCTTATTTGTAGGATGTTATACGTACTAAATCGTCCACCGACATTAAACAGGCAGCCTGCTGTCCTAGCTTTTGACCTAAGGGGACAAAGCCGTTCCTCACGGGCGGTCTCGAGGCATTCGCATTGCAGCACACCATAGTATCTCGAAAGTGCTTCCTACCTCTCCTTTTCGAAGTACGTTGAACGGAGAAGTTATGTGACAACTTAATTGTCTAGCCGTGCGAATTCAGCGACATGACATCAAAAGTGGAAGGAGGGAACATCGGAGCAGAGACATCTGCGACATAAGTGGCTGCTCACGATCAGCTAACTGACTAACCCGATGGCCACAATCAGTAGTCGCCGCTGCTGGAGGCATGTTGGGTGGATGTTTCCAATTCCTATCCTGCCCCTTCTCGCTTCATCAACCACCGTGCGGAATGGTGGTCTGACTAGACACCACCAGGCACTTCCGTTCTGTCCTCACTCTGTCCGCCCTCCCCCCCCGC